ATATATATATATATATATATATAGATATATATATATATATATATTATATATATATATATATATATATATATATATATATATATATATATATATATATATATATATATATATATATATATATATATATATATATATATATATATAATATATATATATATATATATATATATATATATATATATATATATATATATATATATATATATATATATATATATAAATATATATATATATATTATATATATGTGCATATATGTATATATACATGCATATATATAGACACAAACATGCTTACACATATGTATGTATGTATGTATGTATGTATGTATGTATGTATGTATGTATGTATGTATGTATGTATGTATGTATGTATGTATGTATGTATGTATGTATGTATGTATGTATGTATGTATGTATGTGTGTATGTATGTATATATGGATGGATGCATATATTTATAACAAAATTTGCATTTCACTACAAAAAACTTCTAGAAATAATATCTAAAGATTTAATTTACTTCTATTATAACTTAGCAATTTTTCTTTGATGATTATTTATTTAAGACTGTTTAATCTATTAAAAGAAAAATTTATCTGTTCCACTAATTTTATTTCACCATTTATCTAATAGTTTCATTTATCTATTTTTTCAAGGCATGTTCTATCAAGTTGATGATTCTTTTATGTGCCAAGATTGCAATTCTGCTTCAGGTTTTGCATTTTTGGGGAAGGCTTTAAAGAAAATCTTGAATTTTTATAATGGCAGCCAGCATTGTTTCTTAAAATTATTTAAATTATATGTTCTACTTTTGCAAGATTATCCTGTTAACACAGTGGAGAGAATAGTCTTTATTTGTGGTTTGTATTTTGGATTTTATAAAGCATATAGATCATTCAATAAAAATATTGTACTATGGGTTAAACTGGATCAGACTCATCCATTTAAAGTAGGAATTTTTTATTATTAATAATTGTTTATGATATGTAATTAATAATTATAATAAGTTAGCAGTAAGTGCTTTATAAAATGGGGTTTTATTAGTTTTTAATCAATATGATTTCTTCTCACAGTTTTTTAATTATTACTCAATAATTAAATAAATTGCTAATATCGTGTCACTTTTATAATTTTGAGTATTTTGGTATCAAAAATTACCAAATAACTTAGTCAATTGGCTTGCAATTTTATTATTAATAAATCCCCAACACGTTATTGATAAACTTTAATCCCCAACATATACTAGTTGCCACTATATTCACCTTTTTCATTTTGTAAGGTGATATAAAAATAATAAAATTCTTTCATCATAGGAAAGGGCTTCATCATTTCCAAGGGCATTGTGTTTGGTAAAAAATCAGCTAAGTTTAATGATGTGTTTAATGATGATATGATTAAAATCATATTAAATTTGCAATATTAACATAATAAGTATAACAAAGTTTATTATTTTTATGACTAATACAACATGATAGCATAAAATTTTGTATTGTTACCAATAAATAAAATTGTTCATACTTTGTTGGTGTTGAATTCAAATTTTGTATCCCTTTGACTGTTGGCTGGTTATCAATATAGTAAATTTTAAATCTTCAAAAAAATAGATGTATGTATGTGACTGCATGCTGTTGAATCTATATGTGGTTAAATCTACATGCTGTTGAACCTACATGCAGTTAAACCTATATGCAGTTGAATCTACATGCAGTTAAATCTAAATGTGATTTTAAACCTTGTATTAAAACCATGTGTCAACTGTATGGCACTAAATATTGGTTTAGAGAATTTCAACAGAAAGAAAAAAATTTTAGAAGAAATTTATTTTAGATCTTTGCTTTATAGAGCTGTATTATTGTTTAATAACTACTTTGTATCTGTATTTATAACTGTATGTATCTGTAACTGTACTCCGTCAATTTTTTTTCTCCAGATAGAGTTTTTTTTTTTTTTTTAATTATCTTCGCTTCCAACAAGGTTGCAAGCAACCACTTATTAGTGTTGGAAGTTACTGGAAGAGAAAAGATGAAGATTGTAGAGCAAGATAACGATTGACAGACGACTTAAAATATTGCAAATTATATGAATCAGGAAAGCAAGATGAAGGAAGCGAATTCCAAAGAACTGATGTTTGAGGGAAAAAACTAGACGAATAAGAGTTTTTGGAGCACTTAGGAACAGTAACAGAAAAAGGATGAGACTTAATTGAATGACGAGTAACACGAGAATGAATTTTAGTACATGGCACAAGAGACGCTAGCTCTTTAGAGCAGTGTCCATTATAGTATTTGTAGAAAAGAGAAAGAGAAGCAACATTACGATGTGACAGAGGTTGAAGGTTGGCTGCAAGAGCACGTCCAACTATGTTTACAATGCGTTTTTGCACCTTGTCTAAAAGAGAAAGGGCATCATTAGAAGATCTGGCCCAGATATGGCAACAGTATTCCATACAAGGCTGGATTTGAGATTTATAGAGATAGAGAATAGAATCCAGAGTAAGAAAGTGACGAGCTCGATAAAGAGAAGCAACTTTAGCAGATGCTAATTTTGCAACGGATTTGATATAAGGTTTCCAAGAAAGATCAGAAGTAAGAGTTAATCCTAGAAGATGAAGGGTAGGAGACTCATCGAGTACATTTCCGTTCATAAATATAGGAAGGTCTAAATTATTGCAATAACGATTGGCCGAAAAAAATTGAGTTTTATCTGAATTAAAGTTCACCAGCCACTGCGAGCCCCATGCTGTAGCAGAAGTGAGATCCTTTTCGAGCTCAGATGCCCCCTGCAAGCAATCAGAGGGAGTTTGCTTCTTATCATGACAAGAATAAATGGTAGTATCATCAGTGAGCAATGCCAAGGATTGAACCTTGGGGAACCCCTGAGGTTACAGAATAAGAAGAAGAGTGCTGTCCATCAAGGACAACTTTTATACTACGATTGGAAAGAAAGGATTCAATAATCTTAAAGATGTTTCCAGATACACCATAAGAAGAAAGCTTATGGAGGAGACCAGCATGCCAAACTTTATCAAACGCTTTAGAAATGTCAAGAGCAATGGCCTTAACCTCTCCACCTTTATCTAATGCGCGTTAAAACCTATCGGTTATTACTGATAGCAAATCAGCCGTAGAACGAGAAGATCGAAATCCATACTGATGATCAGAAAGTAGGTTATGAGATTCGAGATGAGAGATTAAGTGTTTGTTAATTAAAGATTCAAAAACTTTGCTTATGATAGGAAGAAGACTAATGGGGCGGTAGTTAGATGAGTCCGATCGCTCTCCAGAATTTTTAAAAATAGGGATAACAGATGCTGCTTTCCAGCAGGCTGGAAAACAAGACTCTGATAAGCACTTGTTGAATAGTTTTGAAAAGATAGACGACAGCTCAGGAGAACACTTCTGCAAGACTATAACAGGTATGTTGTCCGGGCCGCAAGCTGTAGAAGAGTCTAAGCGGGAAATCACTTTAGATACAGAAGCTGGAGTGATACGAATGTCGAGCAATGGATCAACCTGTTTGACGGGTATATCAGGTAAAACGCAACTAGTGGCATCAAGAGATGATATTGATGAAAAGTTCTTGGCAAACAATTCAGCTTTGTCTTTAGGTGAGGTGACAAAGTCTGAACCGTACAAAAGAGGTGGAATTACAGACTTGCCCTTATTATTGATACTATTAAAGATTCTCCAGAAGTCACGAGAACCTAATTTTTGTGATGAAATTCGAGATTTCATGATCTGAGAATAGCGGGTTTTGGCATTAGACAAAACCGTTTTACAATGGTTCCTAGCAGTAATAAAGAGATGTCTGTTTTCTGGAGAATTGTTTTGCTGATAGATATGGAAGTAATGGTTTCGATTGGCAATTGCAGCAGCACAATGTGAAGAAAACCATGGAGAAAAGTGAGGCTTGACCTGGAATCGTCAAGAGGGAATAAAGGATTCCATGCCAGCCTGAATCCGCGAAGTTATGTAAGAAGCACATTTGTCAACAGGGAGGCGAAAGATTTCTACCCAGGGGCCATCACGAAGAAAGTCACAAAAAGAGTCCTAGTCAGCTTTAAGGTAGTTGTAAGATGTACGATGATAGGGGGATTCTAATGGTGAAGAAGAATGAGATAATAGTTTTAGAGAGACCAAACCATGATCAGACGCACCTAAGGGTGAGTGTGAAGAAACTGAGCACTGACTAGGATCAGAAGCAAGACATAAGTCGAGTAGAGAAGGTAAATGATTCGAGTTGTCTGGAAAGCGAGTTGGAAAGTTGACTATTTGAGTTAGGGATTGAGAAAGACAAAAGTTGTGGGCCTTAATGCCTGCAGAGTCACTGACACTAGAGCCAAGCCATTCAGTGTGATGAACATTAAAGTCACCAACAACAACAATATTGGCTGATGGATAAAGAATGAGGGTTTGGTCAATATAATCAGAAATAACATCAAGAAGAGTGCAGTCTTGGGATGAGGGAGAGCGATATAGAACAAAGAGAAAGGTGATAGAGTGAAGTGGTGCTAAATGAAAGCACATAAAAGAATAGTCTGTGGATTCAAACCTAGTTTCCTGACAAATGGGTGAATTCTTACGAATGTAATTACCCAGGCCAAGCATGTGACTATTGGAGTCTTTATGAATTAAAGGAAGATAATCATCAACACTAAGATCACAAGATGAGACAGCTGAACTCAAATTAGTCTCACAAAGAGCAAGCAGGTCTGGTGAACTTTGCAAGAGATAAGACTCAACAGAAGAAAAGTTACTTCGAAGACCACGAATATTGGTGAATGATAGGTTTAGTGAACTTGGTGATGACTGTGGTTTTTTGTGTTTTATAGTTTTTGTTATTTTATTCATTTTTGAATTTGTTAAAGAACTTGACTCGAAACATTGATAGTACTCAGTACACTGTTTTATAGCTCAAGCAATTGCCTTATTTCCACAGTTAATAAATAGTATTTCATACACTTAATAAATAGTATAAACAAATGCCATTTATGTTATATTTCGTTTTTAACTACTTTAAAATGTTTATTAAAAACTCAAACAAAAATACAAGTCAGTAGGTGTACCACTAATTTATTATTAATTATTTTATACCAATTTTTACTGTGTTTTTAGGAATTATTGTTTATATTGGAAAAAGAGATAAAGAAAAAGTCCAGTGGAGATCTTAAAGTTATTACTTCTACTTTGTCTTTATTGGTCATTTTTTACAAAAATACTGATTTAATCTATTTAACAGATATAAGTTTTTTCTGTTGTTTGTTTAAAAAATTATCGTTAGAAAATATAGGCTTAGATTGTGACAGCTTGTTAAGAAAGTTAAAAGAACAATTTCCAACAAAGTATCTGAGGTATGTAACATAATTATTTTAAATATTTATTTCAAAATTTTTTAATCTGAAATAAATCTAAAATTTATAAATGTTAAAGGCATAATATATATATATATATATATATATAGATATATATATATATATATATATATATATATATATATATATATATATATATATATATATATATATATACTTATATATATATATATATATATACTTTTTTACTTTTGTTTTAAGTTTGTTTTGAAAGGTTTATTTTTATTACTTTATGCCAAAAAAGGTCCCAAAATATACATGTCATTAAGTTGTCAAAAATTTTAGTATTAATTAATCATTGAAAAGTGGCATTGTTATATTAATATTTTTTTTTTACCAAAAACAAAATTTTTAAGAAAATATTTCTATTCAACTATTATAAGAACTTTTTTAGTATGAAAAAAAAATTGTCTAATTAATTATTATCTTTTATAATATTGACACTTGGCCTTAAGGAAGTAAACTTGTGAAAATTTTCATTTTTTCTTTAAAGGTTTAAAGTGGAAAAAGCATTTTAATGTGCACAAAATGACATAAAGGTTTTTTTTATTCTTCAAGTTTTTGAATTATTTTTGTTCTTTTTTGTTTATTAGTATGATAAAGATGGCATTAGAATCCATATTATTTCATTGGTTTTCAAAATCTGATGATATTTCAAGTAATATGATCCATGTTTGGTGTTATGCTATTGTTATTTTGCATATTATTTCTGAAGAAAAAAAAGATAAAATCATGTTGGAAGATTTTAATGTGTATAATTGTGGACTACCTGTTTATATAAATGTCATAAAAGAAAAAATTATTTTGTAAGTTACCTCAGAGTGTGACAAATCATTTTTTTTAATGAACGTTGAGGTTTGTATCTTTACTTATGACGAACATCTAATTTAAGAGATATATGTCAAATAAGGGAATTTTTATTCTAGTTAACAATTTATTAGATATATTAAAGATGCTTATTGAATTTAGTTAACTTTTATTTTTTCAAAACAATATTTCACGCAATTGCAAAGTGCATGCATATTAATGGTAATTAGTATGCAATGATTGTAAATTTTTATCTATTGAAATAAAATAGTGATTTTTTTTAAAATTAATTTTAAATAGTTTGTTAAATTTATTTACTAATAAAAAAATGTATAAACTTGAAAATTTATTCAGATTATCGGTGTTAAATGAAAAATAAAAAATGTAAACTATAATAAACATAATATTTCTATATATTCTATTAAATTATATATATTTCAGCAAAACTTTCTTTTCAAAACTTTTAAAAGTGTTTTTAATATGCAAATAAATGTTACTTCACTTTTAGGAGAATAAGAAAATTAAAAAAAAAAAGAACACTTTTGAAAAAAGCAATCATATTATTTAAGCATGGTTACTTTTAATGTAATTGCAAATGCATTCATTTTAGGCAAAATTTTGGATGCTTTTGTAAACACATGCAAAAACCATGCTAAAATAATTAATCTCTTCAATAGTGTACTTTGTTAATTTACTTTAAAGGCTATTGAAGAAAGCAAGAATGGTTTCTTTTAAAGTTTTTGATAATATGTTTTAAATTTTAGTAACTAATTGTTTTTTTATTATAAATATGTTTTAAATAAATAAAAAACTATCAGTCACTGAAAGTTGAAAAAATGCTGAAGTAAAGCGTTCATTTTGACAAATTTTAAGCAAACACCAACGTTTGCTTAAGCTAAAGTAAAAAAACATCTTTTTTTAAATAAACATTAGCATGTTCTTTGATTTGTTGCGCCCTGTACCCTTACCAATATTTTTTTGTTCATATGTATTTTAAGATTTATGTACAAAGTTTTGTACTTAAATAGCTCGAGTGTGTTTCCAAAATAAAATTTTGTATTTTGAAATTTAAATATGACATGGTAAGTTTAAACAATTTTTTACATTTTGGTGCCCTTCTTTGTGATAGCCTTTGTTTTTTAATATTACTAAATTTTTGCTAATGATTAAGAAGAAGTAAAAAAGAATGCAGACAACTGTTACTTATAACATTTGAGAGTTGATGCTCTTCTTTAGTGAGCATTAACTTTCTCTCTATAATTTAATATAATTTTTATCAGGAAATACAGAGTTATTTTTTATACTACAGAGTTTTTTTTTTATACTACAGAGTTATTTTTTACTTTTTTTGTATTTTTTACTGATTATAGAGATTTCTTAACTTTGTCACAGTTTGATCAGTTCAACATTATCTGAAACTGTTGAAAAAACGAAAAAAGCTTTTCCATCTATGAAATCATCTCTGAATTTCCAAGTTCACAACAATTTTTACTACTTTTTGACTTTTTACCTATAATCTTAGAGAAATCAAAAGAAGAGTATAATTTCCAGTTAACACTTCTATTATGTCAAAAAGGAGGTTTCCCTATGCAGGTGTATATTGCAGAAATTAATTTTAAAATGCCTTATTAATTTCAAACCATGAAATTATGAAATCGCATGAAAAAAGATATTTTTGTTTAGTTATTATACTTAACTAATGACTTCTAATATTCTTATATAAATTACTATTTTTATTTCTGTTTCTAATCTTACAAATTTTTTAAAGCAAAAACATGAATAAGGTTTTGAAGAGCAACAGAGTTGCTGTGAAGTCTATTAAATACTGCAAGTTTGCCAAGGATTTTTGAATTGAAAATTGCAAAAAAAAGTTGCAGAAAAAGAGAATACTTACATGGTTAAAATTCAAATTAGTACAAATTACATTGTTAAACGTAATTTGTGTGCTCTATATAGAAATGTTATTTTATAATAAAATAATAAAGTTGTAAGGTTAGCCTTACAGTTTATAAATGGTACAAGTCATTAAAAAAGATAGTGTTCATAGACTTATATCAGAAGTGACTCACCAATATGCAATCTGATTAATAACTGAAAGTTTGAACAATAATAAAGAAAGAGCAAAAAGTGTAAGGGTTTAAAATGATACTGTATTTAGATATCTTAGATAGACTTATAATTTAGATAGAATGTATGTAAAGTAAATTTAAAGTTTGAGTGAATTACTGAAAAGTTGCCAAAGTTTGATTGCCATGTAGTTTTGGCCTTTTAAAAATAAATAGCCAAAAATTCATGCATAATTAAATTAAATTTTTTTTTTTTAATAATAATTGTTGTGACTTAGTGTATACGAGTCTAAAGAAAAAGTTTATTTGCTTTTGAAATAATAAGCAACTTTGTTTTTTATTATTAACTGCTTTTTTTTCTTGATGCTACAACTTTGGCTATCATAAATGATTTTCATTGCTTAGTAGCATGTTGCATGTTAATAAACAATAAAAATGTTGCTTTTTTATTGATATAATATTACCAACATAAAAATAGTTGCAAAAAAATGTTTATATTGTCTGATATTTGTATATAAATAACATTTTTTTAAAAATTAAATAATAAAGTGCAGTGAATTTATATATTTAAAAAAATTATTTCTTTTGACAATAAAAATTTATTTTATAAGACGACTTAACTTATGAAATGATATTGAATATTCCGCCTAATTAAATGTTCTCATTTTAAATAAAATAATAAATGCTAGTATATATTTTTAATTATTTAATTTTTACATATAATATATATTTAAATATGAAAAATATAAATTAATTATTTAAATGTCAATATATTTCAGAGAAAAAATTTTTTAAATAATTTGTTTAAGCCATTATTTAATAAGTAATTAAAAGTATTCATAAATTAATTAAAAGTATTAAAAACTTTTAGCTTTTTGCTGTTGTATTGGTGCTGTTTTTATTGTCTTATGATATAACCCTTTAAAAAATAGTTTTCTTTTCAAAAATGTAACAAGTAAATGTATTATCACCATATTCATTGTTGATGGTCATAGATGAGAGCTCAAAAGTTATTTTGAATGAAATTCAGAATAACTTTTTATTATAATGAAAAGATTTGTCTTCTGATATATATTTGATGTCACTCTATGGTAGCACCAAAGTTGTCTATGGTTGATAAATATCCATTGTATTAACCATAGGATTAAACTGGCAGTAAAAGACGCATTTAAAGAAATTCCTAATTTTTAAAATATTGATGTCTTTTCTATTGTTAATTACAATCTATTAAGGAATTCTGGTATATTAAAAGTGGAATTAAAAGTAACCTCAAAAAGCCTTGGTATAGCGCAGTATAAACTACCAAAAATTACAGCAACAAGGTTTGCTGGGTGAAATAGGAGGATAAGAGATTTCCAATCTGAAACATGACTAGCTTTTATTATGGCGTACCAAGGCTATGCTAGGAAGCAGACATACTAAATACTAGCAATGCACTGATTGCACATTTGTGGCTAATGCCGTTACTGATGCAGATGGATAGAAAAAGGGTGATACTGATGTCGATACCAATGGATTAATTATTCAAACTTTTGAAAATATAAAACCATACAATTTTAAATCATGTAAACTTTTTCATGGAATCAGAACTGAACAAATACTTGGACCCAAATTAAAGCCAAACCTTTATTTTAAAAGATATTAGTAAAGCTCAGTTAAAATAATACACATTTTAAAATTTTTTTAACTATGAAAAGTAAACTTGCAAAAACTAAATACAATTTTAAAGGAGCGCTTTTTTTTTCAATTTAAAAAAGACAATGGTATTAACTTAAGCAGTTTACTTAAAATTTTTAACTCTTTATAAAAAAAACATAAA